GCCAAGGCTCCTGTCTGAGGACCAGAAGCAGTTCGGCAGTTTTTGGCCTCAAACACCATGGCCGTCATCCCGCACCCTCCTTAGCTCCGTGTGACTTCTTCCTCTTCCCAAAGATGAAAATTCAGCTAAAGGGAAGGAGATTTGAGACGATAGAAGAGATTCAGGCAGAATCGCAGATGGTGCTTGACAGGCTGACAAAGAAAGATTTCCAGGGATGCTTCCAGGCTTAGCAGCGGCGCTGGGGTCGTTGTGTTCACTCCCAGGGGAACTACTTCGAGGGTGATGGATGAATTTAATACCTGAGATAAGTGTACGGGTTTTTATACGCGCAGTCTTGAAACTTTCCGATCGCACCTCGTATTCATGCATATAGACATTATGCAGTGTTGGAGTAGATGGATGGATAGATGATGATGAGTAGTTAAGGGTTGACTCATGTTTTAGGGGCCTTCACAGATTATTAAATAATACATAATGACATGACTAGTATATGGGCCACATAGGTTGAAGACTTATTCATTGTCAGCATGTAAGGCTTCAGAGCAACATGTATGAATGGTATATTATTTTAGCTTTGTTTATTTCAAATGCAACCAAACGTTATGGTACTCTTATATATCATTTCATATTTGGGAGGTCCGGAGTTGTATTAGCAGGTTGATTGTGATTGAAGTGCTACTGCAATGATGCAGAACATTCTCCTCATCTGATTCGGCTGTAAATTTATGTAATAATATATATTATAAATCTAATGAATTGATTTTACATTGTTAGAACATCTGGGTCTCTTTAGAGGTAGCATTTTATAAACTTTTGTTGGTTTTCTGGCTGATGTTACTCTTCAGTTACCATCTAACAGTAAAGACTTGAGTGTACAAAGAAATGTAGTAGAAATTATTAGTCATGTTAATATGGAAATTATATTTAGCTATAGGATAAAACTATCTCTAAATTAACAATAGCAAATAAGAACATAGCGGTTGATTGATTGGAAATATATTTCAATTACTTAAGCTAAAAATTATGCCTGCTGTCTTAAATTCTTATCTTCATTAATTTGGCATTGTGAGATAATGGTGGAATTTCCACTATTTTAATATGTAACTGGATCTCTGAGTAAAATGTACGTTTCTTGATTCTGGCACCCTAAAAAAGGACTGCAGGAAAATTAAATCAGCAAACAACAAGCAAAGAATAAAACAACCATAACAGTTCATGCCCCAGAAGTAAATTATCATGGATCCAGTGTACTTATGATATGAAAATTTAAAACTCCTTGTTAATTGCAGTGTGATTGTCATATGTTCAATGAAAAGTCCTGAATGTTGCTTCCGAGTATGAAATAAGTAAATTATGAATGCATCCATACCTTGTATGTAGCATTTAAAATCCACATATGCTATGGATGTGACTGAAGTGGTTTGTAATTGTTGCAGTTGCATAAACTAGAAGAAATATCCAATAAGAGTGAATACCAAGATGTGACACAAAACAGTGAGATGCAAGCTGCAGTTCCTTGTCACTCACAAGTCAGCCGCAGACAGCGATCTAATCAGACCCGCAAGAAGGCTGTTGATGAAAATTCTCATCCTAATCTTGCCAGCCTGGAAAAGAAGTAAGAGCGCTCGTTACTTTCAGCTCCAGCATCCATGCTTTTGTAGTCTTTTAATAACCTGAATTTATGTGTAATGTACATTTTCATATCAGATCAAAGGTAATTTTGGCAGTACAATCACTATATGCACTATACATTGTATTCTTATTATCGAACACACCCACTCACTTAAGTACCACAAGATCAAGATGTGCGAAACTCTGTAGTACCATACATGCTGCATATGTTGAAACTGATACCACATAATTTGGGGAAGAAAGATGGGGTTGTATTATGCCTCCCAAGAACTGGTCCATGATGAATTTCTGGTGTTTGAACACTACACTTTATTTTCAAGTCACACTATTTGCTGAATTAAACAATTTTAAGGGATTGCCACAGTGTAAATATTTTCACTGACATAATTTATTATTAAGTAACTGTTTCACATGTTGCATGTAATATTTTGAAGATGTTAATATCACTTGTTTGGTTTTCATCAACACACATAAAAGTCAGCTGCTGATACGCTTCTCATAAAATTGTTGTTGTTCATGATAGTACATGACAATCCAGTATCAGTTACAGAGGTAAGTACTTTCCTGTATTTGTCTAAAGGGACTGGGGAGAACAATGAAAACAAAAGATGGTCCCCTAGTCAAGAAACAAACCAGGTACCCCTTGAATGCAAGCTAGGTGTTGTGCTATTGAGTCATTGAATTCAGGCTGCGAAAACTTAAGGACAAGAGCCACTCCAGAGCTTAATAATGTACTGGGAACCTGTATTTGGCTTACAAGGGCTTGCTGTTTGTAATATAAAATGGCTGCATAAGGTTGATATTCATTTTACTGCAAACATAATTTAGATAGTAAAGTACATACCACATAAAAATATCTAAATATGTTACAAGTCCTTTTTTTAATATATGGAAAGCTTGCAGAATTTTATACTCCAATACTTCATGTAGTTGTTCTGCTCTACAGGTTAAACAGTTGTGATGATTAACATGGCCATTAATTTGAAACAAAAGTTGCCTGTGGAAAATACTCTTCTTATGTAATTTCATCAGTGTCAGTTAAGATGAAATTTTCATGTTTGACTCTTTTTGGATAAATAAGCACATTATTAAAACTTATTCTGTATTAAATTGCAATAAATACTAAAATGTAATTTTTGTTACAGACCTACTTCAAGAATACAGTCTGATAGTGTAGGTATGTATAAATACCTGCTAATTATTTCTTGGTAACTAATATATGTTCTGTTTATTGCTGCACAGAAGTAAATTTGGTTGTAAGGAACAAGAGACATTCTCGCCATTTCTTGTGCTTTTGCAGTATTTTACATCAGCAAAGAGGGGCACTAATTGTGTATACTCTTGCACTATGATATAAAACTTGTCTGAACAGAACATGACTTAAATGGGTACCTGTACTTGGAAAATTCCTTGCTATCTGGATTGTAGGGTAAATACTAATGTAGAAGTATCTTCAATAAGCAGAAACTGATGTAGAAAAAGAATTTGACAAAAATAGTTTGCCAAAATATGTATTACTTGTATGTTTGTTTAATTTTGTTCCTTATTGTTTCCTGAAATTTAACATCATTGAATTCATTATCCTTGTCGAACCAAACTCAGTTTCAGTATTTTCTGATCCGTAAATACTAATTTAAAATTGTTCTCCTTTTATTTCTTTGCATTTTGTAGAAAATATGCTACTACCTCCACAAATAGTCATTTGTTAAGTTTGTAATTTAACTTCTGTGTTGTCATTAGGCAAGAAACAAGGTTGCAGCAATAGTTCTAAGTCCAGGAGTCGGCGCAAGAATCTGTTCTCGTGTAATCTGGATGAAACATCAGAGTTTACACCAGTTGAAGTAAGTAAAAAATGAATTGATGCTGTGGAATGCTTTGAACAAAAAGTCGTAGTTCAGGGAAGAATCCAGTTCATATGTCTCAAATAACATCCAAATAAGTGTTCTTGTGAAAAAGAGGTATGTGCATGCCTGCTTGTAGACACTTGATTTTATAATTCAGTAAATCAGTCTAAACCAATGTTCCACAACCATTTTTCACCTGCAGCACATCCTAATTTGTCAGACACATGACACCAAACCACTAATTGTCACCTCACAAAACTGTACATAGCCATAAACATGTATCTCCTTACAAACATGTACCCTATAAGAATGCAGGCATAAAACTGTTGATGAACCAGTGTGTATAACATGAATTCTAATTATGAAAGATAAGTTACTGCCTTTTTCTAACTATAACATATGAATGAATTTTCTTGTAAAAGTTTTTGGCACACTAGAAACCTTGTGGCAATACACCAGTTGCAGAACACTGGCCTAAATGATGGCCCCTGTTATTTGTGTGTCTGTCAGAAATTCAATACATTGGATATGGATCAAAAACATTTCTTTCTCTGTTTATACATTTGTTCATTATATTTAGGTTATTTACCTATATAAAACAAATTATGCTAGAATAAGAGACTTAATAGTTTCATGGGTGGATTGATTGATTTTCAGGTTTTTAAAAATATTTTTAACTTCATATGTTATTGTTGGACTATAAGACTGTGAATAATGAATTATAATTTCTTTCTAATTATTAAGAAAGTAGTTATAGCATATTTTACTTAAGGTACTGCCCTAACCACAAATTACCCCAGTCAAAATTTTTGGTCTCCAAGCCCAATATCTTTCCCAGGATCTCCTAAAAATGAAGCAGGGAAATGTATTAATGGAAAAGTGGCGTGTACTTTTTTAATTTGTGATATATTTTTTTGGAGGATTCATTTTGTTAGTCCTTACAAGATCCGTAACTTGTTACATGGAAGTCATCGTAACTTTCACAGCTATTTTGTCCCTGTTGCCCAAAGTTTAGGACATGTGGTTTAATTCTGGAAGACTATATTGTATTGCTCTTCATTGTTCTAATGTACCCATTCCTGTTACCTGTGGCACTATCTGTTTTTACAAGGTAATTGCATAGGCAATCTTTTGTGAAATTCTGCATCTTAAAAATACCGCAATGTATATAAAGTTGTCTCAAACTCTTGAGTATTTTTCTTAATTCTTAATGTACTCCAATGTAGCAAGTTATACTTGGATTTGCTTTTTCAACAGACAGAAGAAATTCCACGTTCTTTGTCACCAAGAAGATTACTGAGAAGTCGTCGCGTTTGATCCAGCTGGGAGAAGAGTTGCTGTTGAATTATTTTTATTTATCCCTTGACAGTATTTTTTATATATTCCAATTTTATTGTATTCACAGTTGTAAAATATTTTATTGTTTTTTAAAATAAAATTGAATGTCTCACTACTTATGGTATTCGGTCCTAAGATTCAGATTAATAAAGTAGGTTGCTAATGACACTCCTTTGTATATTTATAATGTTTACTCAGTACAAGTGCCAGTAAAGGACTCATTATACAGGCAATGTTGAACCTCGTAGTTGGTTCCTGTTGTGTTGTGTTCGTAACATTGTTTGTGAATGCTTGATGTGAGAGAATGAAGTGGCAGATGCTCTGTTTGGCTCATGTTGCACCACCAAAATTGCATTCTCAAGATGCTGCAGTTGTAGGACGACTTTCCGAAGTATCCAGAGACTCATCAAGATACTGGGTGAGTTAACAGGTGTTTTTCTCTTTATTTTACAAAGTTTCTAAAGACTTGTCACATGTGCGTGCATATCTTGCAGACATACTCAGCAATGAAATTATAAATGCTGTAAATCACTGCTTCCCAAACTTTTTCCCTCATTACCCAAAACCACTTATCAGAAAGTCCTTTTTACACTAACTGCACAGAAAACATATGACAAGTGAAGAGAGATCGGTAAAAAATAGGAAGCACACAATATGTTTGATGCAATGTCTTTATTTTAAACATTTTAGCAGCCACAAAAAAATTGATAATTATTCACCATTATTCATCACCCAGGTCCCAGCTAATGAGTACAATGCCACTGTTCCATCTTATTTACTAGTTCCGCAAAATTGGGAGCAATTGAAGACAGAACACATCATATTCGGGGTTCAGCAAACAGTTTCGTTTTGTGCTCTTTATGCAGGCAAGAGTGGAAAATCCTACTTCACATATGTAGGTCCTCGGAGACTGCAATAATTGCATCACAGCCGCCCGAGCAACCACAGGATATTCATCGTGAATTGTTAACCAGAACGACTCCAAATGGCCCTTTTTTTCTTCAAATAACATTTTGCACTGCTTGACCTAAGCTCCATCATTTGCTCTGCAAAACCATTAACACTATCAGGGATTTCAGTCAAGTCACACAGAAATGGGTTTACAATCCACTGATATTCAGACCTTTCTAGTTCAGGAAAGTATTCCTTGAAACGCAAAGATAGTTTTGTTAAGTGGGTGATCACGGCAAAAATGATTGAATCTAATAACAAGCATATGGCGTATTTATTAAATAGCAAATAAATACTTGTTAGATTGTTTTAGGGTATCAGTGCACAATGACTGGTCGCTTTCTTCGGAGTACTTCTACACTTTACGGTAAATTTTAATTTGTATTCCGTGGTGTGTCGTTACCCAAAGAAAAACCACTTTTGCCCCTTTTTGGGTAATTTACCCAGGTTTGGGAAGCACCTGTAAATCATCTCTGATTGCATTTGAAGGGAAGGCATAGCCAAATCAGTTCCAGAAATAGTTTCATGAAGAAGTAATATGCAAAAGTTTTTGACCTCTGACTTTTTGGCCTTGATGTTCTGTGGTGATACTTTTTTGTAAAGGTAAACACTGCTGTGCTCTCAGTATTATGGATCAGGGTTGTCGTTTATGTGATATGCATTTCTTTTATATTGTTGAAATGACTGGTTCCTTTAAAATAAGAAACAAATATGTGACTGAAGTATGTTGCTGTTTGCTGGTTTTGTATTGTGGCACTGCATAGTAGTCATGAGGTCCATTAAAAATTTCCAAACAGCATTAAAATAAAGTTCTCTTCGGCTACCAGCCATGACATATTGAGTTTTGTTTGTCTTTTTCTTTTTGTGCTGAGCTTTTCTAGAAAAATATCTAAAATATGATACTGTAATATAGGATTGCAGTTTTATGTCAAAGGAGTTGTGTTTCCTAATTTATTTGCACAAATAAACTTAGAGTTAATCAAATTCTTTGCCATTATTTACCTGTATGTTATCCAATTTTTACTAAAAGATCTTTCTTTTGGGACAGAGGGGAAAAGGTGCAAGTATTCCATACTTTTACCACTAAAAACAATGAAGTATTTTATTTCATCATCAAAAAATGCTTCCATTATAAGATCACAATGAGATGTATATTTTATTGTGTACAATTTTTTATACAGATTTCTGAGTTTGGTTGGAGCTTCATTTAAAATAGAGGAGGGTAATATCAGACTGATTCCAGTCAACACCTATAGGTGTAGATGGTCAGATTTTATCAATCTTATGTAGTTTTGGTGATGAAAGGCAAACTTGCTTATGTAATACTATTACAGTGTGATGAGCTTTGCAGCAATAACAATAATAGGTCTTCCTGTGCATTTAACGAATATCAAGCCCAATATGGTATTGCAAAAGAAGTGTTTGGAAATTTGGAGCACGTCTCTCCATTCTATAACACTGCAACTTTGTGTTAGTGAGTACATAAATTCGGCCGTTAATGATCAAATTCAGTACCAAAAAAATTAATCTAATTTAATTTTAAAATTTTCATGGCAGGTCTCAGCGTTCGATATTGTAAAATACGAGAATATTTATTGCTTTGAATTGTGCCAGACAAACAGCCTTTCTAACGTCACATGTCCCAGTCTCGTCCTCAGCAAACATTGTACTTACGAGTAGTGAATAGCAAGCGATCAGGTAACAAAGTACAGGACTTTTATTAATATAGCAACAGTTCTCTTCTTTATGAACAAATGGCAAGCATAAGAGTCTAGGTCGCTTATAATAACACTTAAATATTTAACTTTACGAAACGATTTACTGTTGTTTCTCTTTTGTAGGCGATGTGACAGAAGTGCAAGTGGTGTGTAGGAATTTGTTGCTCAACATTTCGTACCAATCGTTCGTCCTACTCTCCACGCAGGTTACGAGAAAATATTTGGTGAAGCAGGACAGCTGCTGTTGAGAATTGCAGGTGTTATGGTCGTCTTTTCGAATCGGACCCAAAACAAACTCGTCTATATGGTTCAAGGAACTGCACAAAGCAGTAAGAAAACGGTAGTGATTTTTTATCCTTTAATATTGTAAGTCTAGAAGGTTGTCAAGGTAACATCAGAACTACTGTAAGACGTTCAGAATCTCTTCGGTGTTTAAAGGAGTGACAGGCACGTCCAAACTGGAGTTACTGTGCCGAAAGTAAAAGTTTGTCTTCATTGGTGAGTGTATGGAATACTTATACATTTTGTATTATGTAGGCTACTTAGGTTACGAAACTGCTTTATACGTGCTAATGAATTGAAACGCTGAACTATATGCCCTGTTTGCAGAACACTACACGATCACCTGACAGTAGCTATTCAGGCAGGGAAATATTTCATATTTAAGTGTACAAATTGCTCACAGGTAAAAAATAATATACAGATGAACACAAATTGTAAGATACTAATTTTATTCTATTTTGTTCCGTTCTGAGTTCTTCAGAACAATAGAAGCAAACAGGTTTCCTCACTCTGTTTACGTAATCGTGTGTAGGCATCATAATAGGTTAACTACCTGTAAAACATGATTTGGGGAGTTGTATTTAAATGTTACTCATCCAGTTGAACTATTACTAAGAAATTAAACTTTTTGTTCTTGTGATTATTTGTTATGGGCATATATTTTAAAGAACAGAGTTGCAGCAACAGCAGTGTCAGTCATAAGTTATATTTAGAGATACTTGATTGTAAAACGTTTTTAGAAAAAATCCATTGTTTCTTTGATATTTGGCCATTCTGTATTATTTTGTGTGCCCTTGAGATGTGATTGACATTTCACGACCAGAAGTAGGTCGTCCTTAGGTCCCTCCTGAATAAACTTCACGTCGAATCAGGTTCCCAATGTTAGACCCATGGTCGAAAGGTTTTCGACCATGGTTAGGCCTAGATTTTTCCAACCTCTGGGTATCCTGATGAAAATAATTACACAATTGGTTTTGTGATATTATCCAGTCCGGAACATAGGGTCTCAAAAGTGACCCTCTGGTTTAAATAATGAGTATACACATAGAATTACGTAATGGGCACCAAATTTTCATACCCCGTTCATCCATAGATTAGCTGATGCACTTACCTATGGGCCACATAGTGAAATCTAATACTGCAAAACGCATATACCTGACAATCGGTTCAAATATAAGTTAGTGACAACTGTAATTCCCGAATTCTGTTAGTGTTTTCCACACGGATTGCGTCTTGCTGTGAGATGCGGCTAATGGCACCCTTCTTTTCATGAGAGACAGGAACAAACTAAATACGTATATAATATTGGAGAATAACGGCAGTTGGAATAAGAATAAACAATCCAAATTCCTAATTTTTTTCAGTTCCTGCTTCCTAGTTTATGCGTTTAGTTGAAAAACTAAAAATGTGTGTCCGTCCCCTTTTGTCACATCGGAATACCGTCACAAATCTATGATGGATAAATCCATCATATCATCCCTCCTTCGCTACAGGTTATCCGGAGAAATATTATTTGATGCATACAGTCTTTGTATAATCGGCCCCACTGTTTTGAAAAATTGAGAAGTTAATAAATATTCGCTCAGCTAGTCATACATCAAGAACGATAATTCTCTTTCAACTATAATATGTGCGAGTTACTTTGAAAAATTCTATTTCTGGTGATAATACAAATTCATGGGTAGGGAATGACAAGGTCTGACTCGTTCGAAAATATCACCATTTGAGTTGTTTTTAGCCAGCTTGATACAGCCTATTTTTCAAAACCCATTTTCGTAGTCCATTATTATCCTAGTTCCTTTTTTATTTTCTAAGTAGCCAACTTCCAAAAGTTGTGCTCAATAAATTTTTGTACGTATTTCTTATTTCCACGCCAGGGAAACGATGAAGTCATATTTGCTACTTGAACAGAGGATAATAAAGGTCATTTGACGCTTTAAAATTTATATTGCGCTGTATTTTGAGTTGTATTTTAGAATGTCGGCTTTTTGGGTCTACGAAGTCTCATGAAAAGTGGTTACTGACGATTATTCCAGGGGACGAAAGCGATCTGACCAATCACTTCATTTCAGGTCTAGAGCTTGGAATTCTGTGAACTCCACACTTGCAATTCACATCGACAGTGTGGTGATAAGGGATAGTTTGTAGCAAAAATAAGGCAGTTATTTCTTCCTATTACTGGTCTCACGTCTTAGCGAAATCATTTAAGTGTCAGAGATACAACTAGGCTGTTTCAAGCATTCTGACGAAACAATAACAGTAGTAATGGTAATAACGATGTGTTTGTTGCTTAACTAAGCACCGCGCTAAGCAGACGTGTGTGTCTGTACTAGAAGGTGGTGAATGTTATTTCACACTATGGCCACTTTATCCCTAAGGGGGGAAAACTGGTACCCATTAGGTCCCAGAGTTGGTTTTTATGTGTGAAGACATACTACCTCTCCAGGAATTGAACCAAGGTCATCCATCTTGTAGCCTAGTCTCTATACTGACAGTTATCTCAGCTACTAGGATTGGTAATAGCAGTAATGATAACAGCTCTTTTTAGTGGGATAGTAGTAACTGTAGTTTTGTAGTATTATTAACACTAATAATAGTAAATATATACTAGCAGTATCAACAGCAGCAGCTAAAGCCTTGTATCAGTTGGTATGCTGGAAATAAAATATCTTTAATCACAGACTGTTCAAGTGCCATTTCAGACAGAGATGAAGCCCTTAACAATTTTAGAATTGTACTAAATATAAACTTAAGGAAATTGGGATGAGAGCATACATGATTTGAAGCACATACAGAAAATGAGTCACATACTGTGAGTCACCAGTGATGACCTACTGCTGTCATAGACCTCACCCACCAAGCAAATGGCCCACAGACTCCATCCTACACATTGTGTGTAGAAATGGGAGGGCTTTGAATTTATTTGAAAACCAGAATTACAAGGACGAATTTTTGATTGCTGATACGTTTCATCACTTTCCATGAGCATGTTGGTGAAATGCCTTGAAATAAGCTATAACATTCTCCTTCCAAATGTGTATATATATATTCAGCATTAATCAATGTAGAGGTAGCCCTCGATTTGCGCCGATTCAGAATAACGCCGATTTTGAAATCAGCAAGTCAAAAAGTGAAAAAAAAATACAATTATTTATAACGTTTTACAATGTATCTCGTACTGATTTTTATACTAAATCGTAATTCTTACATCGCTGATTTTGAATAAAAATTATAAATACAGTAATCTCTGCAATTACCTTTTTCGTTAACGCGAATTTGCTCCAATGAGATCGATGAATCGGTAAAATCTTTTTGTGAAATGCAAACTTTTGGATATGCGAGTTTGCTCTTATGCAGTTTCATTCCTGGCGCTTTAAACTTTCAAAGGACTGATTTAATCTCTGCGGAGGTACCGGGGTTAATTTTACTACGCAATTTTCTATAGGTCGGCGTCTTACGTCAATCGCGGGGACCAACGAATTGCCGATTGCAAGTGTATAAAATATATTTTTTAAATTCCCTTTATTTTATTTACGTTATTTCAGAGCTTTAAATGTAATGTCATTATATTACTCGTCAATGTTTGGGTGCTGGGAACACATGTCATTGACTTCCCATTGATTTACATTATAAAAGAGTTTCAATTTACGCCGGTTCGTCCAGGAACGCATTCCCGACGTAAATCGAGGGCTACCTGTAGTTCAAGCATCTTCTCCAAATAACCGAACAGTCAGTCTGTTCCAAGAAGCAGTAGACGAGAATCTACAGGAAGGGAAAATGATATATGACCATGGCATCCTGTGAACTGGGACAGATAATACAAAGAAAATGCAGATTTAAATAATTATATGAAGGTAGCCAATAAATCCTTTGATAATGTGGAAAGGTAAAATATTTTGGATTGACAATAACAGATTAAAATTATATTCAAGAAGAAATTGTATGCAGATTAAATGTGTGAAATGTTTGCAGTTCAGAATCTTATCTTCCTCTGTTTTCAAAAGGTGTGAAAATGAAATCTTACCTTTATTTGGTGTGGGTGTGAAAACTAATCTCTCACATGTAAGCAGAAAAAACAGATTTAGGGTGTCTAAGAGCAGGGAGCTAGGGGAATAATTGAACCTTATAAGGAGGAAGTGGCATGAGACTGGAGAAAACTGCACAATTTTTACTCTTCATCAAATATTGGGATGATCAAATCAGGATGAGGTGGGTGGGATATGTAGTATTATAGAAGAGATCAGAAATGTTTTCAAAATTTTGATTGGGAAGCCTGAACAGAGGCAACCAACCAGAAGACATGGGCATAAATTGGAGAATATTTTTAAAATGGATCTTAAGGAAATATTGTGTGAGGATGTGGACCAAAATCATGTGTCTGAGGATAAGGACCAGTGACAGGCTCTTGTGAATATGAACCTTCAGGTTCCACAAAAGCCAGGAATTTTTTGGGTAGCAGAAATACTGTTAGCTTCTCAAGGACTCTGCTGAGTGGAGTTAGTATATTTGAATAATCTATCACAGATAATACTATGAAAATAATGACATTTCATAGCATAACTATAAGCGTATAATATATAACTGAAGTTGCTTTTATTTAGAATACAACTTGTGAAGGAATTCTTGCTTTCATTTGGAAGGTTGCTATCATACTGATTGATATATTGCATCAAGCATTAAAACACAAAATGAATTTTGTTGAGTGAACAAATGTTTTTATGCTATGCTGGCCTATGTTACAATGAAGTACTTCTGTTTTCATAATTTAAGTTGAAATAATCATATATTTTAAAACTGCTTTTATATTCTCCAGTCATTCAGGAATTTGGCCTAACTTAATCCCTCTGTTGTGGTGAGTTCCAGACTGTTTTGTGAAACCTGTTATTCTGTGACAGTTTCCTGTGAGTTCAACAATTTCATATTGGGACTGTAAAAGTAGTTACTGTTTTATGTTTCCTGGTAATGAATTCTTCCCAACAAGTATGATCAAAGGTACTCAGAATGTACAGATTGAGTGCATTGTAGCAGATGATATCCTCTTGAAAACCACAAATTATAGCAAAGTTTCTTTTTAATTATTTTTCAGGAGAAATGGTTCTTCTTGTCAAGATGGAATATGTAAAAAACTTGTTGTTTTCCTGTGTATTACTGTTGTCATTAGAACTTTCCCTAGCCTTTGGGGATTGTGGTCCTGAGTTTGGAGGAAAATGCTCATGTCAAAAGGGAGAATATGATGGAAAGAATGAACAATACATTGTCAATTGTACAGATACTGGATTCAACGATACATCGGTCCTCCAGCATATACCTCCTCAAACACAGGTCTGTAGTAAACAGCTCAGCTCATGTAGCTTTTAAATTACTATTCTTATCCACAACAGGATTTCACTTTGTGGATAGAGTTTAAAAATCAGTTAAAAAAAACACAGCCAAACTTTACAAAGATTTATAGGTCAACCATAACGTTTAAATAAAATATAACCCCCACTGAAAACATTTTGTTTGTATTCTGTGAGAGGACTGGAACCTTTCTAAATTGCATCACAACAATGAATGTCAGAACTTCTAGAACTTCACAAATTCATTTGTTTCAGGTTCTGATATTCAGTGGGAACAACATCCCTGAGCTTCCATGGAATGTATTTGGGACTTTTAACAATTACAGTCAGCTTCGGGTAGTTGACATGTCAAACAACAAGATACGTGAAATTCGAGGGAAATCATATCACAGAGTTGGAAATGTGCAGCGTCTTCTTCTAAACCACAATGATCTTTCAATCTCTTCAGCTGATGGCTCCAACCACCACCATCCAAGAGTATTTTCTAGTTTTATCAATCTCATGGAATTACATCTTACAGATGCTTTTGCTGATAATACCCCAGATGATCTAGCAACTGACTTACATGATATCTTTGTAAATAGCAATCTTACGCAGCTGACTAAACTTCATCTGGAGCAAAATGAAATTACACGTTTCCGAGACCCACAAGTCTTCTGTGATCTCCCAAAGCTTATGGATCTACATCTTGGAGATAATCTTTTGAGAAGTTTGAATTTCAATATTACTTGTTTGAAGCATCTTCGGTTTCTTGATTTGGAAAGAAACAGGATGTCTGGCTTTAGCACTGAAGATTTAGACATATTAGACTCATTCCCTGCACAAAATAGGACCTTTGTCATTGACTTAAGTGGCAATCATTTCATTTGTGACTGTAATATTGCTGATTTGTATGCATGGTTACAAAAAACACATGTTCAGGTACGAAACAAGGAAATGCTACGTTGCCACCGCGGTCTTCCTGAAAGTAACGGTGGAGAGCCAATTATGGATCTGCGTCAAATACAGTGTGCTCCAAAGAAAACAGTTGCAGCTGGATCAGATATGCAACATAAAGCAACAGCTATTGTTCTTGGAGTTCTTACAGTCATCTTATTTGCCCTTCTAGCTGCAGTTATATACATGAACAGAGTGCAAATAAAATATCGTCTCACTCCAATACTAGACACAGTTTCTCGTAAAGTACAGTATACTACCATTGGTAAACAAGATGACCCAGAGATGGATGTTTAAGAAGATGAAGATGATAAAAGAAATTAATTTTATGAAAGACCAATTATGTTTTCGAGAGGTCATGTTCATGTGATATTTAAGATATTAACATTTAAATCTTACATTGAAAGATATGAGAAGAATAATTGGTACTATAGTTGAACGTGACCTTCAGTTGAGACTCTTGATGAGTAGTTAAAACAGGTATGGTAGGTGGTACAGTGCTGTTGATTGTGTGGTTGAGACTTGAAAGAATGTCAAAATGTAATGCAGCAAATCAGAGTGGTCATGGATCCAATCAAGTATTCTTGAGTTATTTTCTGAACCTGAAGTTGCAAATGGCAATAGTAGTGGAATGTGTTTAGTAGGAGAACATGTACTCATTTCAGAAGTAGCAATAAGTAAAACATCTGTAAAAGTCAAAACAGGAAACTACTAGTGTGTATGTGGGTGACTGAGGTGCTTATTATTTCTCAGTCTACTCATATATTGTTTTGTTTGAACTGCTTAGGTTAGTGTGATTCATGGTCCGCTGCTGTGACACACAGTCGATTGTTTAATAATAAACTTAATAATGCTGAGATTCTGATACATGGGTAACAAAATTTACAAATTATTCTGTATGCACAATGTTTGTAAGTATAAGAAAAAACGTTTTTCTTAATATAACATCTAAATAAAAATGGAGTTGTATACATGGATTGAAAGGAGACAGAGAGTGAAGCAAGGATATAAGGAATTCATGTTTACCAGATGCAAGACTGTATACTATCAAGAAGTTTTCAAGTACAGTTCTCAAGGAAAGTGGGATTTAGAAGATCACAACTCAAATGGTTTGAACTGTTTATATAATCTTGGAACAGGTCTGATGAGCTTAAACCTTGATGGAAGAAGAAAATAAAGAGAGGTTGTTTTATAATCTAGAAACAAGGTAAATTAATTGATAATGTTAATAGCTAAAAATTAATATTCACTACCTACCAATGCTAAGCATGAGTCTGAACATAGATTTATAGGCATTCTTCATTCGCTATAATGGATTTTACTTGGGCTGGCAAGTTTTTGAATAATTAGGACCTGTTTGAGATGTTGACTCAGAGACCTGCATTGCTGCAGTTCTAATTAAATGGATGATTAAATTTTGAATACCTTGAGATGGGTCATGTCTCATCAATTTGTAATTTTTAAGATGCCTATCAACAGTTATCTTTTCCATAATAGTTCCAGATAATTTACAATGTGCATATGAACTAGCCAGTAAAATTATTAAGTATAAGGTTGTCTCATATTTTATTAACATACATACATAAGCAAATGAATAATTTATTACAGACCCTGACATTGGTTATGAAGAGTTATAATCATTATCCATGTACCATATAATCTGGTGGTTCTAAACTGGAATTTCTAAGATTTATAAACATATTTTTATGGCTGTTTCCTTATAATTCTGATAACTAGAATAAGTTGTTTCCCTTTGTGAGCCATCAGTTCCCCTTAAAAACGTAGTTGTACTGAATTCTGAGACGAGTAACTTTCGACCAAGTCATTATTTAATTATATATTAAGTTTTTGAAGATTGTATCTGACTCAGATTCTGGCAGTACTGAGATAGTGCATACACAGAATGAAGAATAACTTGATTAGTATACAGCATCCACATAATTAAAGTACTATTAATCAATTACAACAGTGCATCCGTAAGAGACCCAGAGAACCCCACTGTCTGCTAATGACTAGTCAAACTGGGAAGAAAATATAAAACTGAGACAGAATTAGGACCATAGAAGAGGAATAT